AAAAAAAAAAAAAAACACATCACAGTAAAACTAATAATACCTTCTCAGCTTCGCATCGAAGCTAAAATAGTGACAGTTACAAAATAAATACGGGTTACAATTTTTAGAATTATAATGACAAGAAACTTTTGTATGAAATATTTTTTCCTAAAATAAACTGTATGTTAAATAAAACATAAATAAAAAAAAATGAAAATGTTCATTAATAATTGAAATAGTTACCTTTTGTTTTTTTACTTTAAAATAAGTTATTTTTGGTAAACCTTGTAATACCAATATTATATTAAATTATTTAATAAACAAATCTTATATTGATAACATTTAAAATAAGATTCATATTTTCAAAGAAAATTACAAAAACCTAGAAATATAATCCATTTTGAACTACCTTAAGACTGATTAATTTTATCCAAAGTTTAGAGAATGAATTTTTCTCATTTTAGACTAATATTGCGGAATAAGATTGTCACTTTTTTAAAAGTTTTGATATCATTACTACTATGGAGAGTAATATACTAAATTAAACAATGTACATAATCATAACATCTGTTATTATAAAATAATTCAACTAATTCATTTGAATCATTATATAGGTTTAAACCTCTGATTGACGAATCTATTAATCAAGAACTTGGAATCAAGACACTTAATACTTTATTTAGCGAGGGTAGTTGGAATTTATTTAGTCACATAGAAATAAAACATGATAATTTAATAATAAATGCCACAACTGTAATGAGAGACCTGGTGACAGATCACAATTTTCATCTTAAAAAATTTTACTTCACACAAATAGTGCGATGTAGATTTTTTGAAGTGCTTTACAATAAATTACAAACTATTTTATGTAGGATTTGTAGAATTGAAAAAAAAAGTAATAATTATGTGAAATGTGTCACAAATCTTTTTGACACAATTAATTATACAGTAAAATGTTTTATTTTATGCTGACAATTATGGAAAAACTAAAACTATCAAAAATAAGGTTGCCTGAAAGATTATATTCTAACTTACTTTCAACTTATAAATTAATACACAATTATATAATTGATCTTAAAACTTATAACGTAACACGAAATGTGTTTATAAATACACCTGAAGTAAATATTGAATATTTAGCTAGTGATTACATGGTGAGTTTTCAAAAAGCAAGACTACATTTTTCCAATATGCTACGTAAATTAAAAACAAAAAGATTAAATAACTGTTGTTCAGAAGGTTTATTGGTGACTACAGAAAATATGGAAACTAAATTTTCTAATATTGCGCTTGTTATTAAATCATCAACGGCAAATGATACATCTGTCACACAATATGAATTATTTTCAAAATATTTATATGAATTTTGTGAAAACTTTATTAAAACTGATTATAAAGATACAGGTTTTTATAAAATACATCAAAATTATTTTTGGAAATTGCCATAATCCATTTTTGTTATTAAAACTAAATATAACTGTTAAGTAATCGAAATACGTATTTTATGTTTAATTTGAGTTATTCCTACGTATAAGTAAGATCTCTTTTATCAAAATAGGCTTAATATAATAATAAGGAAACATTGCAGGCAGCACAAAAACAATAATTCAAATTACTTTTCAACCATCGAATTGCTATACTATATTTCATCTATTCATATTATACAGAGAGTTCAATAAGTAAGGAAATAGGTCAATTGTTACAATCAATAAGAACGATAGAAACCCTTTCCTTTACTTACTGAACACTCTATATACGTTCGATGAATAAATACATCATTTCTTATAATTGCTCTAAAAAATTTTTATAATAAAATAACTTTTGTTTATTTATGTATTTAGCTGATTTTGGAATACAATGAGTTATTTCGATACTATTCCAAAATGTCTTGACGCAATTTTATTACTTTCAATTTATACACAAAAATAAAAATGTTAGGTAAAATCAGAAATATAACTTTATTAGTTCTTAACAAAATTTGATTGATTGATTTAGCAAAAGTTGATTGCTTCGATAATAACTTTATCATAATTAAAGAATATTTCTAATGCAATAATATTATTTAATATTATAGGTAAAATATACAAATTCGCTTAATCAATATTTACTCATAGTTTATGAACTCAATGAAAAATCGTTTTATTGACTTGATTTCACCCAACTGAAGTTCTGGCTCATACCTGACGCGTCTATTGGAATTAGGCCTTTTGTCCATCTTTATTATGGGTAGATAAACTACACTGAGCAATATTGATTAATTAGAATAGAATACATCAATACAAAATTTTATTAGCATTTAATAGTTATTCGATGCTAATGATAATGAAACTTATAATTAGATCTTAATGAAAGATAAAATTATAAAATGCTCTTATTTAAAAGTCATTTCCGATAATAGATGTTGGATATATAATTTCATTTTGATGTTCAACTAATTATACTCAAAAATTGAGGCCAAAAAAACTATAATTTTAATTCACTAAATAAAACAGATAATAATAAATCGAAACACGGCAAAAATGCAGTAACGGCCCCTCTCCCAGAGGTGACCAATGAGGATGCGTCAGGTTGTCAGGCTGCAAAATTTTGTAAAAAAGTATGAAGAATAAAACTTTTATACCACCTAGACAAATTGCGAAGTAATTGTTTCACTATACATAAGTACAGGTCTACCCAACGCTTGTTCTGTTAACAGTGTAGGGACATCATCACTGAAATCTAGGATGGAGTCATGTATATTGAAGATAGATAGATACAGTAATAAATACATAAAATAATTGTCAAATGATATTTAATGCATAGATTAAAAACTAAAACAAATAATGCCATAAATATAATACTATTTTCTACATGGTAAATAATGAAAATAAAATAGTTGATTGAAAAAATATATTATAGCATGTAAAGTAAAGGAAAATTATTATAGTAATTTTTTTTTATTAGTATTTTTTCTTAATAATACGAAAAATGATTCTAAAAAATATTATATTATTATTGACCATTCATTTAATATTTGGGATATCCTTTCGTGATTTACAGTGTAATTTTATGAAATATATGTTAAATTATTTTAATCATAATTACCGCTATTTAATTGAAATGATAGAAAACAAAGAAAAATATGACGTGGATAGTTTAAGCAAATATGGCAATGCAATAAAAACTCATGGCGAAATTGTATTAATAATGTTAGATATTTTAAGGGAAGCTGATAAAAATTTTTACTCGACAGATTTGATATCAGTCAATTTATACATAAATAATGTTTCTGAGAATATAGATTTCTATGCTAAAAATGGTAACGGAATATTTGATTTGTCAGATAAAATTTCCAGTATTATTAAAGGTTACAAAATGCATCATGAGTTCTTTTCAGATCATTTAGAGCTTAAAATATTTAAACATTGCAGTTGTACCACATTTGACGAAGTATTTATTTATTTTCCTGATTACAACGAATCAGGTGAATATACTCTTGGAAATTTTCAAATTGTTTCAAATAAACTTAGAAACCGATTGTTACAAAGTGATAAACACCAAAACGACACCGATGAATATATTAAAAATTTAACATTTAGTAGAGTATATTTTTATTTTAAAAAAGCTATTAAAAGGTGTGAATACTGGGAATTTTTACCAAAAAATTTACTATTTTATAACTTTATGATGAATAATCGCGAAATTTCTGAAAAAGATCTTATAAGAAATTCTCAGGATAAACAATATCCACAGTTAATAAACGGAAGAATTAAAAATGTTTTAGATTTTATTCGATTTGCACCACTCGCTATAACTTGTCCCGACGAAAGACACTTGACCCTTTTTGATATATTTAGATATATCAAGTATAGTTTTTACACGAAAGATATACAAGTATTTCATGTACTTATAATGACTGCAACATTTCGTCCAATTGCTTTACTCGTTAGACTCTTTATCAGTATTCTTAGATCCTCAACTTATATTTACAATTATTTTAGTGACGAAGAAGAAACTTTAATATTCTACAATAAAATTATTTTAGCTGGTAATAAAATAATTGAAATTTTTCAAGATTTAGTTAATTTGAATCTCTTTGGTGACGGACCGGCTGATGTCTTTTTTACATTTTCAAAAAAAACTTCTAAATGTCTTAAATATTTCATTAATAAAAATAAAACAAGTATCAATTTTTCATCCATAAAACTGATGCATTCATTAAAATCATTTTTTTATAATAACAAATTTAATTTTGATAATATATATTTGTTTACTACAAAGGAAATTATCAATAATTGCTTTAATGTATTGATTATAAACATGAAGCATGCTGAAACATTTATAAGAAACTTAGAAGAACATAAGAAATTCTTTGAAGTAACCAAAAATACTTTGAATATTAATTATAGGTTAAATTTACAATTTACAAAATTTTTCGATAAATATACAATGAGTAAGTTTAATATCAATTTATTTTAATTCATAATTTTATATATTCTGAACTTAATAATTTAATTATTATTAATTTATACATACAAATTTTTTTCTCCAATTATTAATCATATATCTTGTAAATATCATTATCTCATTAAATATTACTTTTATTCTCTTTTAAAATGTATCATATAAAAATAATAGTACCATCATATTTTTCTTTTAGATGTGTTATGTCAAACTAAAGATATTTATACATTATTATATAAATTCAATGATGACTATGTTACTCAAATTGTTGATTACAATAAAAAAGTTACATCTGATGAAAATAGAAACATATATATGAGTAAAGAAAATTATCCTGAAGATTATTTAAATAATAATGATAACTGCGATTACTATTGTTCTTATCCTAAATACTTAAAAGATTATATATTGTTTATATAAATTTTACACAATTTTTATTTTTATAAATAATTTTTAGATTATTCTTACATAGACTATACTATACATTAAAATACCTTAAATATAATATTATAATTAGGGTTCGGATTAAAATATCCAAAAAAATCTATTATACAAATATTTTATAACAAAAATTCAATGTAAAAACTTTTAATTTTAGCTTCGATGCGAAGCTGAGAAGGTATTGGTTTTACTAAGATGTGTTTATTTATTTATTTATTTTTTTTTTGTGTCTGTTACCACTTTTTCTCAGCTCTCACCGAACCGATTTCTTTCAATGATACGTCAAAAGATCACAAATCGTATCTAGTCGAAGACATTACTCTCAAAAACTGAAAAAAAATTATTCGTTCCCCGTAAATGGGGGAAACCTCCAAAAAAATTACAAATTTAAAAATCGCCAATTTTCGAAATTTTTTCAATGTTTTTTACTTAAAATTGCCGAAAGTTTTTTAAAAATAAACATATCAATATAATTCTTTTTTTTGTAGATGCATGATGTCTTTACCTATCATTTGGTATTTTTTTTTTATAAATCTGACTTTTTACCAGCCTACAGGGGGGATTCAAAATGACAACTTTTTCACAAAAAATTGACTTTTTCAACTTAACTTTTGAAAGTGTTCCGGAAAGTCTGACACTTTTATATATATATCTTAAATTAAAGATAATGTAATATACTTTATCATGGAAAAAAAAAATTTCGGACTTTATTTTATCTTCACGGTGAAAATGGCTACCAAATGCTATTATTGTGTGAAAATTCTCAATTTTATTTTTTACATTTTTAACATTATAATGCTATAACTTATTGAAAAGTGTATTGATCAATATAATTTTTTTATGGGAAATACTATTTTTTAATAATC